GACCCTTACCCAAAATTTCAAGATTCAAGCTTCAACCGTTTCGTCTGGGCGTTGATGAATCAGTCAGTCAATCAGAGTTCTAGCTCTACTTGTTCGCCAAATACAAATGGTATCACTTACTTTTCGTACCGTTCTAGTACGAATTTCCAAAAACCCAGCCTTATCTGTCACTTTTGGACCAAGAGTGACCCTCAGCCAAAATTTCAAGATTCTAGCTTCAGCCGTTTCGTCTGGGCGTTGATGAATCAATCAGTCAATCACTTTACTCTCTTATTAGTATAGATTAGTACTTTTCGTACCGTTCTAGTACGAATTTCCAAAAACCCAACCTTATCTGTCACATTTGGACCAAGAGTGACCCTCACCCAAAATTTCAAGATTCTAGCTCCAGCCGTTTTGTCTGGCCGTTGATGAATCGTTAAATCAGTCAGTCAGTCAATCACTTTACCATTGACGAGAAATCGGACGACATTAAATATGTAATTTATATTTAAATATGAAACCACTCCAATCAGTCCTCCATTCTGTAATCTATGCAAAATTTCTTGTCAATCGGACACACTTATGAAATCGGATGTATAAAAACTGTATATAAATTTAAGCCGATATAAAGCCAACTTAAAATAAGTTATTCCGTATATTGAAGCACAAACCGTTGGTTATTTGAAGCACAATTTGCATGAAATCCGACGTAGGAACCAATATATCTGAACCAATTGTGATATTTGCTATTTTAGGTTGAATATGATACGTTGTATAGATCTAGATCTAAATCTGAACAGATTTAAGGGAACCACCCCCCCCCCCCCTTCGATTTTATGTTTTCAAGATTTTTAATGGGCTGGTAAATCAAAACCAATGCTTATTAAGGTTTGTAACTTAACACATATATACTCGAAGATTTAAATTAGAAGAAAAATAATTTACAAAAAATTTTTGTTATTGTTTTATTGTTGTTTTTTGTACTTAAAGAAAAGTCCTTATTTTTGATGGCGGGCATGATAACTCCTCACTGGAACATCGGAATCTGAAAATTCCAACGGTGTTAGAAAGAGTACACGTCTGGCTCTCGTATGAACTAGGATTATTGACTTCGCTCTAAAATTAACAAAATGGTGGACCTTTGAAAAAATATTTTTGGAAAATCGCCGATTTTTTACCAAATCCCAAGTTAAAAAATAAGGAAGATCTTCACCGATTGGCTTTATCCTAGTTCATACGATAGCTATACACTCACAGAGGAACGTGTAAAAATTTGAAATCGATTGGGTTATTAGTTTTTGAGTTATCGTGCCCGCCATTCGCAAAAAAATGTTTAGAGAAAAACGCGTTTAAAGATTGAGAAACCCTTCAGCCGTCACTTGATGCTGACACAATAAATCGGCTATATCTTCAAGAGTTCTTGAGATTTTTATTTGAAATTTTGTAGGGACATTCTTGAATTAGTGTTGATTCGAATTATATCAACAAAATTTTTGACACCGAGAATGGGGGGGGGGGTCCCCTTAAGTAGCTTGACATTACTCTTAGTTCAGTACGCTGTGCATAATTTCGCCTCAATCGGGCAAACCTTGGGATTTATTTTAAAGTGTGTCTACTGTTTGTAGACGTGATCGGATGATGGATGCGAATATTAAATGTTGATGATGATTGTGTATGGTGGGTGTGGAAGGCTATGGATGTTTATAGTGTAACATATAGTGTTACAATTTTAGGTTGGAAGCTGCATACAATTCGTCACTTCTACTGGTATCAGACACAGAGCAATGGAACGAAGATATGTGGGCTGAACTGGACATACAAATCGATTCGATCCCGTCAACTCTCGCTTGATACGCATGTAGGATGGCTGACCATCCTGATCGAAGCCGGGCTAAGGTGGGCAGGGACTACTCAGCTTCGGTGACCGCTGATGGTTGCAAATTAGGGACACGATTTGGTTGCTTGCTGGACTGTGACAGTCGGTCGATGTGAGATTGAATGACTTCCTGAATAGGGCATTATTTTGAGTGGTTTTAAGCGTTCTCCATTGATAGCATAGTTAAGGATAGATCTAGTTACAGCTTTGAGGGTGTAGGTAATGAGTACGTCTTTGCCCCATGTAGTGGCCGAGATGGCTTTGAGCACCTTATTGAGGTTCCAAACATTCGTTTTTAGCTTTGCTGAGAATGTCAGGAGGCTATCAAAGGTGACGCATTGTATTTTAGGATTTTGGACCTTTTAAATGGCCCTGACTCTGATGGGTATATTTATTAACCGCTTAACCTCATTTGTCCACGATGTGAAGATAGTGGGGGTTGAAATTTGCAAGTTTCTACCCTGGATGTGACTATCGAAGATAAGTATGTGTTGATTATGCCTTCGATTTTAGCGACATCTACTCCAGAGACAAGGTAAGAACAATGGTCAGCATATGTGACGAGTTTAATACCATCTGGAGGGCAGGGAAGTTTGAAATATAGAAGTTGAAGAGAAGGTTAAGATGACACCTACATGCGGGACGCCCATTTTTACCTTGAGGTTCTTCGACTTTTTTCCCCTGAACCAAGTTCGACTGAATTTGAAGGTATATTTCGTTGTTGTTATTGTTGTTCTAGCAACGAAATACATGTTGTGGAGTATGGACTGTCTGGTTCTGGCACTCTATCTCTTACTTACTTAGCTGGCTTGTTACAGAACTATTGTTCCATAAGCCGAGCTTAAAAAAGATTTCCAAGCGCGTCGGTCTTGTGCGCAAATCCACAAATTTTCTACTTGGTCTTTTCATCTAATTCGTGGCCTTCCCCTTGTACGGGAACCATCAGCAGGCTCGTTATTATGTGCCTTTTGAGCTGGGACATTCTCATTCATCCGCACAACATGGCCTAGCCACCGTAGTCGCTGCAGCTCAATACGACTGATTATGTCGATGTCGGCATATAAATTGTAGAGCTCGTGGTTCAATCGACGCCGATATTCACCGTCGACGCAGATCAGCCCGTAGATCTTTCGGAGAATTTTTCTCTCAAACACCCCAATCGCTGCCTCATCTGCTTGCGCAAGTACCCATGCTTTTGATCCATATAATAGCACGGGTAGTATCAGCGTCCTCTAAAGTGTGAGTTTGGTCTGGCGAGAGGTGGCCTTTTTTTTAAACTGCTTATTTAGACCATAGTAGCATCTGTTGGTCATCACAATTTTTCTCCGAATTTCAAAACTGAATATAAAGTCTTTAACTACCTCGAAGCTGTAGTTCTCAAGTTCCACAGTTGGTCCGAGTCTACTGGACGTCTTGCGCGTTGATACCATCAGCTTGGTCTCAGCTTTACTACCAGACCCACTTTGGCAGACTCCTTTTCAATTTGTTCAAAGGTGGCTGTTACCGCTCGCAATGTTCGACCCATTATATCGATGTCATCGGCGTAGGCGAGTAACTGATGTTGTTTGGTGTACAGAGTGCCATTTCTGTTCACCTTTGCGTCTCGTATAACCTTTTCCAGTAGGATGTTAAAAAGATCACACGACAAACTGTCACCTTGTCTGAATCCTCGTTCGGTATTGAAGTTATCCTGCATAGCCGTATTAATTTTGCAGCGATGCCGAACGCAGACATGGCTTTAAACACCTCTGAACGGATAGGGCTGTCGAATGCGGCTTTATAGTCGACAAATAGGTGGTATGTGTCGATGTGTTTTTCGTGGGTCTTTTCCAGGATTTGGCGCAGAGTGAAAATCTGGTCAATGGTGGATTTGCCAGGTCTGAAGCCGCATTGGTATGGTCCGATGATGCCATTGACCATTGGCTTCAATCGTTCACACAGCACACTGGATAGCACTTTATATGCGACTTATTCCTCTATAGTTGCCACATAACGTCTTGTCTCCTTTTTTGTGCACGGGACACAGGATGCTGAGGTTCCAATCGTTGAACATGTATGCCAAATTGTACTAATCAGCAGTGGATGGTCCTGACCAGCATCTGGCAACCGGTCTTGAATAATTCGGCTGGTAACCCATCGGCTCCTGCTGCTTTGTTGTTCTTGAGTCGATTAATTGCTTTTATGACCTCATCTTTGCTACCATCATCTCTTATTGGTTCTAGGGTATATTCTTCAACGCCACTATTTGACACCAGAAGCTTTTCCAAATCCTCCTTCCAGATCCAAATTCAAACATTATGCAACGTGAATGGGTTGTGTCCATAGAGGATTCGGCGATAGGTGATTCGGCTTAGCTTCTTGTCCAATAGGAATAGGCGGTTGCACCATCCTGATCTTAGTTGAGCTAAGACTACTCATCGAAGCCCTCGACATCGTCGACATGAACGCCTTAATTAACGACATCTTAAACTCTACATTGCCAAACATAATTAACTATTGGTTATGTGCCAGCTAAGCCGACTCACCTATCGCCGAATTCTCTATGTACACAATCCATTAAAATGCAACATTTTTGAATTTGGAGATAGAGAACCAGTACCAGACAATCCATAACCCACAATATGTATTTCGTTGGTACAACAACAAAGAACTATGCCATCAACTTCAGTCGAACTTGGTGTATTCATATTAGTTATGTTTTATGACTTATTGGAGTGATTGAATTTTTGTTTCCACGTCAATACCATAAATATTCGACACCGATTCCTCTTAAGCTATACTCTATTACTAGCTAGGTCATACCAATATTAAACGCCAAAATTGGCATGACCTAACTTCTATCATTTTTATTGTATACAAATTAAAAAAAGTTGTTTATAAAAATAATGTCAAAGTCTATTTCATGCAGTGATCAGGATTTGGACCCAATGTAGGATATGTTCGCAAACGTTGCAATTCCAAAATTGTTCTCAGCTCCATAATGTGAGCATAGTCATGGCGCACTGTGTCTATAAGCTGGCTACGCTTTTTGAGTTTTTCCATTCTGTGGATAACAATAAATGTAAAGATATCAGCTACAAAATTAAAATTCACTAATACAATTCTGACATACTTCTCATTTTGTTCCCTTCGCCGTTTATCCTCAAATCAAAGCATTGATATCATTTATATCATCCACATGCATCAGTATGCAATTCTGAAGTTTCTCCATTGAACCCATTATGTTAAGTTCCACCTGTCCCATAGTTAAGCGCAGTTCCAGGGTTTGATTTTGAACGGATTTGAGCTGGAAAAGACAAGAGAGTACAGTTCATTTCAGATAATTTAAAAAAAAATCAAAACGACTGAACCGATTTAATTCAAAATACTCACATATTCCTCCTGAGCCTCCTGCAATTGCCGCTGAGCTTCCGTCTTTGTGTTTTTCAAATTTTGCAATTCCTTGGAAAAATAATTCATTCCAGCTATCGAATCAGCTAATTGCAAATTAACCGCTTTTATTCTCAGCTCAATTTCGATCTTTTGACGTCTCATTTTTGTCAGCTGTTCCCAGTGTCGTGATTCCAAAGTATTTGTCATATTCCCAACATCATCAAGCGATGTCAATGTATCCAAATATTCGGTGACATCTTTCGGCAATGGAAATGGATATTTCGGCAATGCTTTAGTATTTACCCTTGCGGATAGTTCTTTACACATTAGGGTAGAGTGAAGAATTTTCGGTGGCATTTTTGGACGTTTCTTGAAGATCTTATTCATCTCTGGTCCCATATGCTGTGGAATCATATTGAGATATTGGGTCTTGAATTGACGTTCAATGACACGATCACGTTGCATTAAGGTTTCGCCCTTGGCCTTGAGCTCTTCAACAGATTTACTCCAACATTCTGAGAGTTTGGTATAGCGCAGAACATATTCGCTGATTTTGTCGATGTTGGCTCTGAAATCAAAATATTATAAACAAATTAGAACATATCTGCGGTATTAAGGTTGCACTCCAGTCCCGAATTTTCTAACCGGACTAAATACATGTAAGTAGGAGATGATGAATACCAAGTAACGGTCATGATTGGCTTTAACATGGCGAAGCCCTGGCTCTTATTGGCCCCTCTTTTATCTCAATTGTGGACACTGACCTCCCCGCGATGTCACCTGTGGTAGCTATTTTCATCATCCGTTGAAATAGTGAGCTGATATGTGCCATGAGTTCACCCATAAGAACTGTAAACAAATGGGTTGAGGCGTCGGGTTAGTTGCCCACACTGGGAAAACCCCTCCTACTATGAAAAAGCAACGAAAAAAAGAACGACCCTCGCAAACGTAAAAAGGACCACGATCTGCGAATATGCACTTGGAATGTGCGCACTTTGTAGAGAAACATCAGATGACGGCATGAGGTTGATTGACTTCGCGGCAGCAAATACATGGTAGTTAGAAGCACCAGATTCAATCATCTCGATATATACAAGGCCACATGGACTTCTCCCGATCGAACAACGAGAAATCTAATCGATCTTGTTGTGATAGACGGAAGGCATTTATTCAGTGTTTTAGGCGTTCGATCGATCCGAGGAGCGAATATCGATTCGGACCATTACCTAGTAGCAGCCAAGGTTCCCACTTGTCTTAATGTAGCCGCAAAGGTTCGATCCAACACAACACGGAAACTTGACGGCGAAAAGCTGCAAACACAACAGGTAGCAGAAGCCTACTCCGCTCAACTTACCGACCTGCTTAACGAAAGCACTTCTTGTCCCGATAATAATATAGAAGCACAATGGCAAAGAATGACCCACTCCCTAAAAACTGCAGCAATAGCAACACTTGGGTACCAAAAACCACAATCAAGAAACCCGTGGTACGATCAAGAGTGTCGTAATGCTACTGATGTGAAAAACGCAGCGTATAGGGCAACCCTGCAGACAGTAGCAACACGTAATACGATGGAGAATTATCGGGAGAAAAGCTGATAGGAGAAACGTATTTTCACAACGTACAGGTTTCACAATGAAGTGCGGACATTTTACCATTTTTTTAAAACATCAAACCGAAGGCTCTGGTGCAGGTACATCCTCCTGTAGAGCTGAAGAAAGAAACCTGGTGACAGATACAGACAACGTGTTGAGGATCTGGAAGGATCATTTTGCAAAGCTACTGGTATCAAATAGTAGCGGCGAAGAAGATACATCAGAACCAATAAGAGATGACGGTATATAGTGTATACCACGTATTCAAGATGAGGTCAGAATAGCAATCAATCGGCTAAAGAAGAATAAAGCTGTTTTTCAAGACTGGTTGTCAGATATGGTCAATGACATCATTGTACCATACCAATGCGGCCTCAGACCTGGCAAATCCACCACTAGATCTTGAATCTGCGCCAAATCCTGGAAAAGACCCACGAAAAACACATCGACACATTCCACCAATTCGTCGACTATAAAGCCGCATTCGACAGCCCTATCCGTTCAGAGGTTTATAAAGCCATGTCTGCGTGCGAATGAAAGTTCTGCCACAAGCCAGCTAAGTAAGTAACAAAGGATAAAAATCCTACTGACAAACATATTAACAGTCGGTACATAATATATAAGTTTTACCATATAAGGGTCCCGACAGATTTTAGATAGTTTAAAGATTCATTTCATGATGAAGGGAATACCAAAATTGTTTCAAATGTTCCTCGCCAATATGACTTACCTCAACAGTGATATCCTCTTTAGCCACTGCAACTTCTTAAAGTACATAACTTTGATATTTAAATTCCTCAGCCGGACATGTTTTATGGCAAAATCATATTTCAGCTTGATTATCATCATTTGTGTGATTTGTTCATTTAGTTTCAAAATATAATTCGATTTCATTTCATTAACCCGAGCATCATTTTCTGTCAGAATTTTCAAATATTTTCTACGATCTTCGGTAAGTATTCGCACCTTCTCCTCATACTCCCTCAATGCTTTCTGGTCTTCCAATGTGTATTCGGTGACTTCTTTCTTTAACATAAATTCTGGAATTGGTATTTCCTTTTTAATTTCCTCCTCCCATAGTTTTTCCAAGACACCATCCATCATGATCATTAAAGAACGGACCCAAAAATCCACCGACCATAGCAGAAGACGACCATGTTTTACGGTGGTTATTTCAGCTTTCTTTTTACGTCGATTAATAGCCTTGATTTCGGAATCATCGACTTCCATAATACGCTGAATGAATTCATCGTTGCTCCATTCGGGCACCGAGAGTTTAGGCGGTTGAAAGGTATCCATTTTGAGTAGTCGCAACATACAATTCATATTGTCATAAATTTTATTCAGGGTATTATTTGTGCTCAATATTGCCTCCATAAGTTCGAATTTAATTTTTCTAATATCCTCAAATCGTTTGTTAAATTCTTCCTTTAAGCGATCCGTTAGGAGTATACGTACTTTGGCATCGTGATTATACATTTGATTGGCTGTCACACTATCAATATCCTGCAGTGCCAATTCATCGGAAATGATGTGGTCATAAGCCGAACCTTGTATATAGAGATACTTGCGTTTCTTCGTAGCTTGGACCACGACCCTACCAATACTTTCATTATCTCCCGATGCCTCCTGCAACTCCATTAATTCCTCATCTTCCTCATTCTCCTCATCGATATTTTCCACACCATAAAAACGATACAAATCGTATAGCTTAGCAAACCGATCATTACTTCTCCTCATGCCATAATTTTCAAATGAAAAATTCGAAAATATTGCCCGCACTTTAAAGGTAATACTATTCGAATTTGCCATTATCAAATTTCGAATCCAATCACGTATACGTGACTGATCTTCTATGGCCCGTTCAAGGGAATTCTTTTCAACTTCACACAGCTTTTGAGCTTCAGACAGCAGTATTTCTAACCACTTGTGATGTAAACAGAATTTCTTGTAAATGCCATGAGTTTTCCCCGTCACTGATATGTCGTAATCTATAAGTTCGGTTACTTCTTTGGCGAATTCTTGAATTTGCTGCAGCAGTTGATCTCTAGCTTGAATTTCTTCGGGTGTATGCTCGACTATGACATCGGAACGAATGGATTCAATTTGCATTGTGTGAACTTCTTTATGTTCCATAGTTTGGATTTCAGAATTGAGGTATATATTCTCCGTCAGTGGAACTACTGAGGAGTCAATTTTCATTACTTTTATACCACCAGCTGAATAGAGATACACCAGATACCTAAAATTGGAATTAAAATTTTTATTAGAATTATTAATAAAATTGTATCGTATTATAATATCGAAATACTTATGAAACAAATATGAATTTTCCAGAACGAATTTTTACACTCTCATTTATTGAAATGATGCTTTTAACCCACTTGAAAGAAGATCTTACTCTACAAAATAATGCTGTTAAATATTCTGATGTACTAAAATAGGCTATATCGATATTTTTTTCCAGGAGACTTTGTAATCCACTGGATCCCAGATATATTAAAATAAATCCATATTTAATGTAATTTTTCTGAAATATCGAAATACCGAAAATGTCAGTTTACTGTAGCAGTCATATTCATGCAAAATGTTTATGTCCCCGGATTTAGTTAACCCAGTGGGTTTCAATGCAAAATGTCAAATAAATCCCAATTTTCCACGTAGAGAAAATTGAAACATTTTGACATATATTAACATTCACAAGTTAATCGGTCATCTTGGAACTTGACCTGACTAGGGACAAAGGACACTTTTGTAAAAAATTATCTCATTATGAACAGGCGATGTTTCTCAACAGTAAATCTTAAAAAAAATTTCCGTTTGGCTACGTCAACGGAGATCAGCAAAGACACATAGGTAAAACGTTTGCTAAGTTTGTCTGGGAGAACTTTTTCTATCTGCCTTAAAATACCTAAAATTGGTCGGGACATTTTATATGTTCTATATCATTCTAAAATGGTGGTTCTGAGAAAATTAAATAACAATTTACAGATACTGAGGTCACAACGGCAACTTCTTTGGGAAAATTGGATTAAGAGTTTTAACTACCGAAATAGGGGCAGAACTTTCATATAAAGGCAATGTGAACACATGGTCCAATATCAGAAATGTTCTGCAAAAGTTTGTTTAATCTCCATTAACTCCAAATGCCAAATTACAGTCCCTTCGGTTCAAAAAAGGTGTTTAGTTCGGCTAGGCGAACTTTTAATACCCTCCACCATAGGTATACTGACTGTAATGAAGGTTTCAACTTCACGATGCCTAAATGTGGATCGATATAGCTCATTTCCGAAAATCACCATTAAGTTTTTTTATTTCATTCCTTTCCTTTATATTGAGACTACCAGTAAAAAGGGGCGAATATTATTAATGTTTGGTACGGAGATTTGCTACCATGGTACCGTTATGTAGAATGGGTGGATTTAGTACCCAGCATGCCAAATTACAGCCAATTCGATCGAAAAACTTGCCAAAAATCCTCAAGGTCCAGGTATGGGGCTACCGCAAAAAGTGGACCGATATTGATTATTTTTAATGAGGAGATTTCGTAAAAATTGGGAGTACAAAATACCAAATTACAACTATTTCGGTAGGAAAGGTCCAGTTATATGGGAGGGAAATCAATATTTATAATTTTGAATAGGTATATTTGTTACCCAATGAGAACACCAAACACTAATTTCCAGATAATTCGGTTAAAAATAATGCAAATTTGGAGGAACCGTTATATGTAGCCACCAAAATGTGGACCGATAGAGCCCATCTTCGCCCATCTCAAATTGCAGACAATAGGTAACCCTATGCAAAATTTTAGCACCTTATCTCAATTCCTTCAAAAGATAGCGTGATTACAAAAGATGCACTGGCAGGGCTAGACCGTCAAAGAATTTTACCCCGATCAAGAATATATATACTTTATAGAATCAGAAATGAATATGTCGATGAGTTACAAACGGAATGACAAAATTAATATACCCTCTATACTATGGTGGAAGGTATACAAATAGGGTGGTACCGTTATATGGGAGCTATATCAAAACGTATATCCCATTTCACCTAATTAGCCAGAAGAGACAGCAGGCCAAGCGTGCCCAGAATCATGGATCTCTTCTGTTATCTTTACCGATAGGTTGTCAGACATACCGAGAGTGATAGGACAAATTAGAGAACTGCGTTATTTTTCGGCAAGATATGCCGCGAAGCTAGTACCTTAATAAAGACTTCAAATTGTCGGTAAACTGCCACAACGTTCACAATGCACAGTGCCACGACCGCGGCCAAAAATGGTCAAAACCAAGTACCCCGGAGGACAAATACTCCAATTAGTATAAATATGAAATTTTACATCGATATATCGAGTAGTTTTGTCTCTACAAAGGTTCAAATCTGATAATTATTTATAAACTGATGTTTTACCATATTTTCGAAAAATGGGTGTGTTTTTCTGATGCTCAAATATTTGAGTATTCAAATTAACGGTTATTATAAAAGTGTTTATTTTAGTTGCTGTGGATGTAAAAACTAGGATTCGCTTTAGTTTGTATGTATATAGATATCATATGGTGTATACAGTCGTCCACACTTGTAGTACTTAATTCATCAAATTTGTAAACCAAATTTTGAAATCAGTGGAGCAGAAAAAAAGTTTAAAAAAGGTTAGCTCTAATTTTTTTTTTTATTTGAGTGGTAAAAAGTGTGTTTTTTGAGGAATAAAAAAAATTAGCTGCGGAATCCTGCGGTCCTAAGAGTTATTTAACTTTTTTGGTGATCACCTTATGAAAAAATATGGCATATTCACGAAATGGTTAGAAGCGAATGTTATGTTACGTATACAATTAAATAAGTTATTGAGGGTCAAATAGGAAGGAGAAAATGGATTCAGAACATAGTAATAATACAATATTTTACATAAAATGTGCAATTAAGTGGTGAAAACGTTATTCGAAGAGGAGATATGGGAGAATTGGTTTTAAAATATAGCTTTTAAATAAATTTTCAGTCAGTTTGAAGATTATACTTATTTATCAGATCATTTGAAACATAATCTTATAATCTAAATTTATAGGTCGCACATGAATTACCTTTGTGGAAAGTTCATACATACAGAAAAATATTAGTTCATGGCATGGGATATGCAAAGTGCAGTACAATACCTTTTGAGCGACTTTCACAAGATGCTAACAAGTCATGTCAACAAATAATTAGTAGCAGCCCGAACTTTTGTTAAAGCCGAGTTAAATAAGGATTTTATTTAGTATTTTATATTACAATCCGACCTTGTAATATCCTTAAACAGTCATAAAGTAAAGGGCCGAGATTATAATGTGGATGATACTAAATCGTACATTTGGGAAAACAATATTATATATATATATATATATATATCTGGTGTGTGGTTTGAAAATGTTGTGAATGATAAAAAAAGTAATTTATTAATTATTAAAGGATATCAAATATTTGTTATATTATAATAAAAATAACAAAAATAAAACTACTATACTTAATTTGGCTGTATATAACGATTTTATAGTACAGAAAGTTAAATTTGTAGGGACTTTTGGTATGGTAGGTACCTGAAATATGGGCCAACAACTAAATTACAACACCTATTACCGTCTTCGCCCAAATTTGATGTAATTTGGACGAAGACATGAACATTTTCGTGGAATTTGGATAAATATAAACTATTTATAGGTCCAAAAATCGGATTTTTCAAGACCCTTTGTATTGTAGGTATATCAAATCTTGGTCCGATCTACCCAGTTTTTGGTCAGTTGCTTTATAGGCCTTATTAAATGTAAATTGGCAATTTTATTTGAATATTAAAGATTTTATAGGACAAAAAGGGTGGCATTCTCAAGACCCATTATATGGGAGGTATACCAAATATTGGCCCGACATATCCAATTTTTTTGTCAGGTGCTCTTTGGGCCAATAATAAGCACATGTACCAAATTTCATAACCTTACGATAACTCCTTCTATTTTTGGCCGCTGTTTATATGAACTCGCGACATAGTGCGATGTGGGTGCACACAAGTTTGAATCACACAAGCCAACCCCATTTTCGTCGTCTGTATCAAAGATTCATGTGGTATTATTTCTATACCGTTGCATATCATCAGATTGAATTACAAAAGCAACACGTCCTCAAGGACATTTAGAAAAGCTCTTTCCGGTCAAGTTTATAGGGTTGAAAATGTCCTGCTGCGAGACGAAAAACTGAGAATAATGCTATGTTAGCAGCATTTGTGCAGAGAAGATTTCTTTGAAATATATATTTAAAATATCTGAATCGTTTGGGAACTTTATATATGGCGGTCTATGTAATTGTAAACTTTTGGTAGGAAAATTTGACATCCAATGAGAAAATGCGTCCATAATGTCCAAAATACCAAATAAGTATTCCTTATATTGGCGCAATCGTAAACTGTGTGCTAATATTAATAAGTTTTGGTAGGATAACTTGAAAGCTTTGCTATACAATGACAATCAAAAGTACTAAATTACATCCAATTTGATTGAAACCGTGACAGACTTCCCACAATACCGAATAATGGGTAAAATGCGTTATTAAATAAAAACTCAAAATATCAAATTATATACAATTCGGTTGAATTACGTGCCAAAAATCCAAAAAACCGAATATTAGGGAGGTACAGTTATATATGGGCTGTACGTCGACTGATATATTCCATTTTCAATTCCAGGAAAAGTAACAACGAATGTGCAACATTTCAAAGCTTTATCTTAAATATTGAAAGCTCTATCGAGATTTTATTAGTCGGACAGATAGACGGACGGAAATGCACATATCCACACATAATTTTAATCTGGCCAAGAATATATTATACATTATGGGGTCTCCACTGAATATTTCGAATAATGACAATTTTAATATATTTTATTATATTTTTAATATTCCAAAGGTTATAAAATTTCATGTATTCATTAAATTTTAACTTACTTCGAATTCAAGGACTCCATGACCTTTTGCACCACCCTGGGATGATATTTATTTTGCAGCATTTGTCCAATGGCATAAGGTTTCGTTGATTTCTTATGAGTACGAAAATGCACATATGTACCATCTATGCCCCATGTCAAAAGATTTCTTGCGCCAGATATACCAATAATATTACACAAATGTGGTGTTTGCATCGATGACAACAACAACAATTCGTTTGTTTTACTATTCAAATTCAAAATATCTATAATGCAGGATTCCAGACGCACACCCATAAATTCCACAATATCCTTTGCGGGTACCAATACATCGCTTATATCTCGATATGCATGTGGAAGTTCATAATCATGGCGTATTATTTCCTTTTTCTTCAGATTCCACGAAAAACACCAAAGCTCACGAGCATGAGGTATTTTGAGTTCCTCATCACGATTTACGAACATTAAAGCTCGGTGACCATCAGACAAAAAGAATTTACTAACATTAATTGCTTCGGGTACTTTTATAAGTGGAGCCATTTCGAAGAATTTGTTTTGCTGAAAATCTGCTTTCACCAAATAAAAGTCATAGTAAATATTGTGATATAAGGCCACATCATCAAGAAGTTGTATTCCAGCCAAAGCATAACCATTATCGGTTTCTATAACTCCCACTTCTTGGGGTTCCGAAACATTGGCATAATTTAGAAAATGCAACTTCCCAGTAGATGTTCCCACTACCACATAGGGTTCCACATTGTGTCCGACAATCGTATTGGCATCGGGAATTTCCAATTCAGAGTAAATATTTATCTTGTCCATTTCCACTGCTCTCAGTCTATTTCCATAGGTCAGTTGTACAAGACATTCCTCTTTTACGGCTTTCAAAATTACAAAATCAATGCAGTTCTGGTTGAAAGTGTAAAGGTCCGTTAAGACTGGCTGATCGTTAGAGGTGTCAAATTGATAGAGATTTCCTAAATCGCCAGAAGCAAATATATCACCATTTATATTGGAAATTATCTTGAAAATTTCAATATTCAGAAAATCGTTGACTATCCATTCTGCCGTCCACACATTTATCTTTTTCTTTATGTAATATATTGCATCTTTGCAGTGGACCAGTAGACCTTGTTTATGACTACTGAGTTGATATTGTTTTGGTGCGTCTTCGGTATTGTCCACGGACCATTGAGGTTTTAGGAAAAATTGACCAACTTGGACCTGAAAACAAGAAATATGGAAACAAATTAACAAAAAGTTATTAAAGAAAGTATAGTTGAAACTCGGGACCGACTGATAACTTACACAACTACAACTAGACTTTATCTTTCTATAGACCTAAGTTTTGAGCTTAGGCAAACGTTCGCGATAATTATTTCATACCCACACACCCTTATTTGATTGATATCTAGTATTGATATCTAAACTATATTATAATATGTAGATGTTCGAATTTAAAGGTTAAAATATTCACTAGGTATTATTGCTGGTATTACTTTTGATGCGAATTTCTCTAAGATTTTCAACATAGGTGAACTGAAATATATAAAAAACGAAATCCTATTCGGACAATATTTTTTTCATTGCAAATATCGGCAAATTTTAATGGGAATTTTTCCTAAAATCTCATATCTTAAACGTAAATTATTAATTTTATGATGGGAAAATTGTGCTGAAAATCTAAAATGTCGATGATATGTCACAAAGTGAACCATGAAAATTACAGCCATTTCAGTTGAAAATTTTCCAAACTCTAAAAAAATGGGGGGTGTTGTTCTATGGGAACTATGTTTAAACATGAACGGATGTAGCCCATTTTGCTACTTGACCTTCCAGCAGACAAAAGATAAACGTTTTAACAATATGTATGAGTTATAAACGGAAAAGCGAACAAATTTTACCCTCCATAAGTCGAAGCCGAACAACCAAATTATAGACACTTAGGTCGAATGATGTATATGGACTATTACCAAACATCGACATATATTGAACTTTTATTCACTAAACACTGTATGAGTTGCAGAGTATCTACCAAAATGCCCATATCATAACGTGGAATTATGTATGTTGAACATATTCATCGAATGAGCCTTATACCTTTCACTTCCGAGTGACAGACACGCCTTATGGGGGGAGAAAATAACAAATTTAAAATAGATTCTATAATTCCATAAACCCATATTCCATAATCGTACAAAAAATATAAGTGTCTCCAGTTTGGAAGAAGTCAGCTGGTCAGAAGCCAGTAGGTCAATAGGAAATAAACCAGTAAAGAAAGTTCAAAAGTCGGACGGGGTGGAGGTTCCCTTAAGTTGTGAGTTACAGGGTGTTAAAAATGGAAGTGAACAAAGAGAAAATTCGGTAGATTTTAAGTTTTTCTTTGACAAAAGCGACGTTCGATCTTCGGACTTCATCTAGATTTGGTAAAGGTAATGGTTGTACAAAGTTTGGTTCAAGGCGGACACTCCATTCGCCTGTTATCAAATTGAATACCACAAGTGCAAATTTCCAAAGCCCAATTCTATCCAAATTTCAGAATTCCTGTTCTATCGGATCATCAAAGTCCTAATCGTATCTTACATTTGACCCGTTAGAACAATTTTCCATATCTAACTACATCACAAAATCCAATAGTAATACTTTTTTCCAATTTCAGCATTCCAGATCTATCGGTTCATCCAATTCCAAATTTAGTGGACCCAAATTTCAAGATTCTAGCTTCAGTCGCTTCGTCTGGGCGTTGACGAATCGTTAAGTCAATCATACAGTCCGTCAATCACGTAGCTCTTTTATTAATATAGACGTACGGATAATTAATATAGACGTTCGGAGTCGACTTATGAGTCGGATAGAAACCAAACATTCCTGATTGCACTACAAGGCAAAATGTTATCCCACTCTTCGGTTTGAAACTAGCTTGTCATGTAGATAATGTCGTTATGCTTATTGGGCAACGTAATTTAAATCCCTGATGTTAAAAAAATATATTTTTCCCTAATTTTCTCTTTAGATGGGTAATATAAAGTAGCCATATATTAATTCGGAATATAAATTAGTATTTTTACAATAAAGACGAAGGTTGGACATCTTTAACACTAGAAAGACGGGAATTTTGTATACACCTATATTGCCTAAAATCGGTAAAAATGACCTCATTCTGAAAGAATTTTTATTGTGTAAAGAAATTTTTTTAATATTTTTTTTCATTATTTACAATCATACAAAACGGTGTTATTATTTTGAAAAATAGGAGCGCGGACGAAATGTTCGAAGAAGAGGAAGTCTTTACTCTAAGAGTGAAATCGACTGGAAATATAAAATTTATTTTTCCCGAGTTGTGTGTTCGTCTGTGTTTCTAGAGTAGCAAACGATGTTGTTGTACTGATCTGGTCATATAAGAAATTTACTTTATACAATAATACAAGTAGTTTGATTATTTAATATTTCACAAAAGGTCAAAATGACCGCTTTTAGGCAATATAGGTATAGCACATGTGAATACGGGGAATCAAAGAGGGGAGGAAGCAGCTACTATGATTAATAAACGTAGTTCTAAGTGGTACAAAAAGCCACCAAATTTTAAAAAGCTAGGTCATAATATACACAATTGTTTTTGTACTTGAAATTGAAAAACGGTCAAAATGACTGCCTTCGGCAATATAGTGTTAAGAACCGGAGGTTTGAATTTTAGTCCAAAGATCTACAAGGTAAAACCAATGGTTTCTCGTAGACAGCCATTGGTTATACGTTTCTAAAATATTATCTATGCCATTCTACTACGATACTCACCATTGATACTGCACCAAAATTATCCACAATATATAAATTATTATCCTCACCATAACACAGTGATAGAGCATTGCACAATGCATACTCTGTGCCCAGAGTGATATGTGATATTTCATGCAAATTTACATCTGTTGCCGAGTAACACATTTCCCAAATCATTAATTGATGATTCCATTCGGAATATTGAACAATTTGTGGGATATGATGTCCGGAACATTGCAGAGAATATGACAATGACTCCTTCATGGTGGCCACTTGACACAGCAATTGACCGGTACGAAAATTCCAAATACAAATGGTGTAATGCGGATAACCAGACAAAGCGATCAACAAATCGTATTCGGTGAAATGGAGATCCACAAAGGTTAAAATGTCATTAGCTGGAAGAGGATAACAAATGTCAGGATTTAAGTTGTTTATACCAACATTTCATTTACTTACATGTGAACACAGCATACTTGCTTAATTGTGGATATTGTATAATGTGTATGGCGGGTCGTAAGACCACCTCCGAAAATGCAACCAGCGAAAAACGATTATGACCCGTTATTGTTGATATACTTAGACCTTGTGCTGGACTTTCGGCTTTGTAGTAACTAATTGCCTTAGTTTTCAAGTCACTGAAACACAAAATATTATCGCACAAGGTGCACACCGCTTCCGTACCCACATTTACCAGACTTTTAGCTGTGGCAAATGAAGTCCATCTGTATTTTCAGTTGGAAATACTAAAACATTTAGAATAATTGATGAAAATCTCTAAAATGAATGCACTTACGAAACTGTTAGGGCCATTTTGTTGTTAGTCCTTTTTATTATTCTAAATATTTTATTTTCCGATTTTTGTTGTGAATATTTTGAAGTTTGTGAAGTCGATGTATTGTTTGTTATTTTTTCGATTTGTTTGTGATTGCCATGGTAAAAGTGCTATACATGAGCCGTTAATACAGTGTGCGGTCATGTGTATTAATACAGTTCACAAAATGTTTTATTATTTTATTGCAGTCGTATTTGACAGCAAACTCATTTGTAAAGGCTATATTCCTTGTGCACACCATGTGGTGCAGTACGTCTGTAAAGTAGACAACATTATTTTTATGTTCCTACATGAATGTAAAATTAATTTTAACCTTAAGAATGCGATAGAAGTATTAACGAATACATATGACCTTTAAAAATAGAGCATATACTGATGTTGGGTGTGGTTTGGCATTTCGAATTCTCAGATGATAAAATACGTTCTGGGAAAAATTATCAATACAGAGGTGGATGTTTCGATATAGCCCTGATTTATGGAGTTTGTCCCATTTTTAGATGTTTTGAAGGTGTAAGACCTGGTTTCCAACTGAAGCGGATGTCGATTAAAATTTTGGATTCACAGAAAATAAAAGGTTTCTTATCAGGGAATACTAAATGTACACCAATGCTTGTCACCAATGAACGACCATTCACATTTTGAAGCTGTCATAGTTTAAAAACTCTTAATAGAAATTGTTCTTTATATGCCAATGTTTTCATATAACTCCAATATTGATTAAATATATTTGGGGTTATCATTATATTGATATGCCTATGATATGCCTAAATGCTGACCTATATATTTCATTGTCGTCAGGTTCGAGATTTTTATCACGATATCTTTAGATGGCGGGATGATTACAACAGATGTCTAAATCGTCTTAGAATTCCATACTTTGTTGGGTAAAAACAGACAATTTCGAGTAACGACTATCCCCTACATTATGGTAGAATACGCCTATATGGGGATCTATAAACGTCATTCTAAGTCTGCTGTACCAAATTTCGTCCAAATCGACAGATATATATGGACATTAGTAAATCATTTACATTAAATCGGACCAAAATATATATGGGAGCTATATCTAAATCTGAACTGATTTTCACGAAACATAGCATACATCATTATAGATTCAATTAAGTACGATCTGCCGAATTTAGTGCAAATCGAAAGATATATAGGGACTTTGATGCACCATTTATATTAAATCGGACGAAACTATATATGGGGGCTATATTTAAATCTGAACCGATTTTAACGAAACTTAACACACATATTTCTAGACTCATTTCAGTACGCTATACCAATTTTCGTTGAAATCGAATGATATATAGGGACTTTGGTGCACCGTTTACATTAAATCAGACGAAATATATATGGAAGCTATATCGAAATCTGAACAAAATTTTTCCAATTTCAATAGCGTTCGTACTTGGGCCAAACAAATGAGCTGTACCAAATTTCATCAAAATCGGATCATAAATGCGACCTGTACTTTTTTACAATTTAACACCAACAGACGGACGGACATTCATAAATCGACTCAAAAAGTTATTCTATGCATATTCTCAAAAGGAACGATGTGTCTATCTCGTTTCCTTTTGTATGTTACAAACATATGCACGAAGACATAGTACCCTGTACCATAGGGTGTTGAAGGGTGTAAAGACTGAACAACGTGGCCGTAGACGTAGCACTACAAATTTGGAAGATAGGCGTATGGTACAGTAATATGAACCCTTCAGCGTCCTCGGAAATAATAAAAACTTATTTAAATAAACCAGTGAGCGGAGCAGTATAGTCGGACGGGGCCGACCATACGATACCCTACACAACTTCCACGGAACTCTAACTTTCTGCGGATGTTTATTCTGAGCCTGGGCAATAGTTCGCGATATTTGCACCCTATTGCCCGATTAGAGGTCAACAGCGCCTCTTCCTACACAGACACATATTCCGAATATTACTAATATTCAGTACAGCCCCTCTAATTACTTGTCCAGATTCCCTTCACCGTGGGCTGTGTTGTGATGTTCGGCTTATAATTGTGGCCTATAGATCGACTCGAAAAACACACAAAAAAATAACTTTTTGCTCCACTTCATCCCAAAATTATTATCTAATCATCACCGAAAATTATAGGCGTTGTCTTTGACCATACCTGGACCCTCGTGGAAAATGTCAAACCGATTAGAGCTATATTTTCGCCTTCCAGTGTGGAAATTGGTTACTAAATAATATCTCAGTACGTAAGCACCTGTAAATATTTAAGTGTAACTCCCACATCCGAGTACATGCGACAATATAATTGGTATCAATTTAAAGGCCAATCACTCCTCTTAGATATACTATCAACTTTTCGGGTCTATGTTCTTCATGAGTAAATTAATACGCTATAGAATACAATTTTTGTAATTTGTCAAACAAAAGTCAGGGTATATTTGGCCCGCTAAATATTGGCCGATCTTCATTAAAAAAGAGGCATACTTATTCTTTGGCTCGATAGCCTTCTCCATGTTAATTTTCTCGATGTTTGGACCATAATTGCGGCGTCTGGAGCGACCAGAAAATCAGACCAAAATAAAGTTTTTGGTTCATTTCATCCCTTTACCAAAAACAATAGGGGTCTTCATTGGCCCAAACCCATCCTACATGCAAAATTTCGTAAAGATTGGTCCATAACTGTGGCCTGTATCGTGTTTACAAATTATAATGGAGAGACGGACGGACACACATGTCTAGATCGACTCATTCAACTTTTCGTTATATTGTTGTTACATGATTTCAATTTGGCAAATATTTTGCAATTTTTTCTGTATTTTTCCATATTTTCTCATCAACCTGTTGGCCCGAGTGACAGAGTGAGTATTAACCCAAATACATTGACCGCAAATATTTTTGTAGTTTGTTTTGAAAACAAACAAATTTGTAATTCATTCAACATGACTTTATTGGCAACATTGAGAGTATCGCAACGTATCGTATCGACTATGCAGAATTTCTATGACAAAGGCAATTTTGTTCAAGTGGAATATGTTAAAAATCCATATGTACATACCAACAAACAAATACCCACATGCGGATGTGTGTTTGAATGTTCCGAATATTCGTGTATGAATCAATTTCAAACGTATTGCCAATATTTCATAACAGGTTTTAGTTTTAGCCGCAACATATGCTGCCATCCAATCTCAGCCAGAAAGGATAAAAACATTGAAAACTGCAGAAATACAAATCCTGTTAAAAACTATTCGGGATATGTGGAAAATGGGTGGGAGTGTGTGTGTTTGTGAGTGTTATGTGCACCCTCATATACTTGTCTACATCTGCTAAGCTTTTGAGCGTTTTAGAGTTTTGTGGTTAGCATAAAAGTGCTTATTCGTTCAAATGCCACAGCAAAAAGTCATTGGCAAATGTGAATACAATTGAGATTTATTTCGTCGAGAGAAACAAATCCAATTAAGAAATTTAAAACAAACTGTGCGTATGTGTGTGTGTGAAACTCCTGACGCATAATATGTAAATTTTTAGGTTTTTATTTAAAAACAAAGACAAATATTTCGAAAGTATATTAAAATAATAATAAGTGAGTGTGTGACGAGAAATGTTTACGTATGCAGGCAAACCATTTGTTTGGTTTCAGAAAAATGACAACGCAGACAAAATTTTTATGAAAGCGTTTCCTCACTTGCAAGCATTGGATTGTTTGAAACCACATAGCCAAAGAAGAACATAACTTTGCGGTTGCACACACAATATTTTGGAGTATTTTAATAATCACAAGAAGAATAAAAAACTATAATTAAAATCTTTCGCATTCTCTTAAAGTCAACGCAAAATAATAATAAACAAATTATGGTGTTGGGTTTTTTTGTACTAACATATTCAAATACCATTCTGTTAACAAATACAAAGGAACTTAGCAAGTTTTACTGTGCGTACAAACTTGCTAAGCTCCTTTGTACTTTTTAATAATTTGTTCTATTTATGTTATTTAATTTATTAATATCAAGTTCAATGTTTTTAAAATATATAAATATAAAACATATAAACAGTTAAATTTTGAGATCAATGTTCAGTACATTTTTAATTTGTTGAAAATACGCCAATCGATGTAATATGATAATATGTTACGGAATTTATTTTTCATTTTATTTGAAATTGATATATTAGTTAAATCGTTTTGATTTATCAAAACATGGATCTACATTTTAGACCGAAAATAGGGACGTTGGTAAATTTAAAGTATCAGGATGAGCCGTTAAGATGTTATACGGAATAGCGTAAAAACTCACGTTTTTATGTGCTCAAAACATTTGCAACTTATACTATATGTCATCGATATTTAAAAAACCACGTAGTTTAATGAGTTCTGCATATGGGAAATTACAAAAATCTTTTAAGTTCCTTGAAACTGAGGTTTGCAAGGTTATAACTCGCGAAATATGAACATATTGAATAAAATTTAAATTCATTTCTGTAAAATGAAGTGTTCTTGTCAAAATCTTAAAATATTGGTAATAAATAATAAGTTGCGTGAAATCTGTGATGGTGGTAATGAAGCTAACGAGTTTTTTGTGTTTCTTCCTGATTTGTCGATAAACTACACAACGCACGCACTTGTGATCAGTGACTAAGTTGCAGAATACCCCACGGACAATATGGTTCTAATATATGATTTTTTGATATAATCACTGCATCCACCCAAAACAGATGCTGACATTTTGAAGCCGGATTTTCGGTGTTTTTTGCATTTTTTTATAATCAGGACGCGCATCCAGATAATGGACTAAACTGATTATACGATTGTAGAAATCGTGATTTTGCTTCGTTTATTGTATATCTCATGAATGTGCTCACCGTAGCTTCTTTGCAACTGGATTCCAAAGACGAACATTTGGTGCGTACATTGTTATAAAAAACCTATTTTTTGAGTCCTAATTTATGAAGGTCCATTCAAATTCCGTGGAACCCCGCGTGATTTTAGTTTTTTTAC